TGAAAATTTTTTTATTTAGGAAATCCCCAAATGTAAAAATCTATGAGGCCTTTTCTAGGAATGTTTAGTTTTTCCAAAGAAAGATCTTTGAATCTTCTGCCTGAGAGGTCTCCACATTTAGTATGAAAATCTGTGTTTTCAGCACAGATTAGTATCCCCAAGTCTGAAGTTTAGATTCTCCAGAGGATAAAACCCCCAGTGTCTTTTGGTGGTGGGAATGAAGTAGGTGCCTGGTCTCACTAAGTGGAGAGTAGGGGTTGTGGTTCTAATTGCCCCTGAGCTACACTTAATCAGGTCTTCTGTTTTCCTGCCCGTGCCTTCCATTGTACCAAGTGCCTTTAACTCCTGAGCTCTCCTGGGGTTCTGTGGGGGCACATTTGCTACTGTTTGTCAGTATCATTGACTGTTGACCTTTGGGTTTCATCTTCCTCCTTTGCCTCCTTCATAGACCTTGTAGTCCACTTCATACATCGAAGCTTCAGGATTCAGATGTGTCCTGGCTTCACTGGGGTTTGTGTGTGTTTCTTTTTTTCTTATTGTTCTGTGGTGGAAACGTCTGTACTGTCTTAGTTTCTAGAGCTGCTGTAACAAAGTGCCACAGACTGAGCAGCTTAAAAGAACGTAGCTCTGGAGGCTGCAAGTCCAAAAGCAGGGCGTTGCAAGTCCATGCTCCCTCTGACACCTGTGGGGAGGCTCTTTCCTTGCCTCTTCTAGCTGTTGGCATTTGCTGGCGATCCTTGGCGTCCTTTGGTTTGTAGATGCATGGCTTCTGTCTCTGCCTCTGTTGTCACACGACCATCTTCTCCCTGTGTGTCTTTGTCTCTTCTCTTGTAAAGACACTCGTCATGCTGGATTAGGGCCCACTTTCATCCTCACTTGATTACATATCTGTAAAGACCTTATTTCCAAATAAGGTCACATTTACAGGTTCTGGGGGGTTAGGACTTCAACATATCTTTTGGGGGGACACAGTTCAACCCATAACACTATGCCACTTTAGAACCAGGAGTTCTAGACATTATTTTGGATGGTAGTAAAACACATTTTCCATATGATAAAGAAAATTTTGTTTTGAAATTTAATAGAAAATATTGAGAATAACCACATAAAATTCTGAACATCCTAAAATAAATCCTGAAGACAGAAATAAAATATTTATAGTAAGCATGAAAAGTGCTCACATGCAATGAGAAAAACAGCAAGACTTCATTAACAACAGACATGAATAGACGGTTCACCTCACAGTATGAGCAAGCCTAGGTTAGAAGGTATTCTCAGACATTGCTTACTGCTTATAAATTGGTATGTTAGTATGACCCTTTTGGAAAGAAATCTGAGAACAACATGTGCGACCATAAAAATGTTCACACCCTTTGGTTGTATTCATTCAACAGAAAATTGAGTACTTGCTTTGTACCAGCTACTCTGCTAAGTACTAGGGATTCAGTGGCAAACAAGAATGACAAAGGCTCTGCCTCATTGATACAAAATACCATAAACTTTTGGGAAGAAGTCACATACATGAAGATCACATTGTTCATCCCACTTTCCTGGTTTTTCTACTGTAATTTTCACTCCTAGTCTCTCTCGCTGGTTTCTCTTCATTTTCTCAACCTATTAACATTGGAAGGCCCTAAGACTTAGTCCCTGGACCGCTTTTCTTCTCACTCACTTGGTTGTCTCATTCCGTCTTATATCATCTATATGATAATAATTCCCCAATTTTTTCTCTACCCAGAACCTCTCTCTTGACCTTTAGACCCATATATTTGGTGACCTGTTCAATGTCTCCGTGTGGGTATCTGATAAGAATCTCAAACTTAACCTCTCCAAAATTGAGCTTGGTTTCATCCCCTCTGGCGTTGTTCTTCCCACAGCCTCCTCAGCTCAGTTCTGACTGCATCTGTCTAATCGCTTAGGCCAAAAATGCTAGACTTATCTTTTACTTTTACTTCTCTTTCTCATGCCCCAAATGTAATCCATCAACAAATCTTGTTTACCCTCAAAATATATTTAGAATCTAACCATTTCTTGCCATCTCTACTGCTGCCACCCTGGGCCAAACCACCATAACTCTTACCTGGTTTATTATAGTAGCATCCTAACTTCCCACCTTCCACACTTCAGTCTGTTTTCAGTACAGCAGCCAGGTCCTTTTAGAATGATGCTGGGACAGCTGTGAGAGTTTCTAAGTCTGAGCCTTCCTCCACAGTTAGACCACTTAACCACTATGTCACGCTTCTCCACAGCAGGCACTCAGTAACCCTTGCTGAAGTGTGAACACAATTTTATTTTCTATCAAGAACATTTCCCTACAAGATTACAGTTTTTGTGAGCATTACGATAACTGTGTGTGGAGAGAGAGATCAAATAAGGAGTTGGTCCATAATTACAGGTATTTTTAATCATATGAAAAAGATGAAATAAATGAAAATAGTTCTTATTTTGTGTCTGGTTGGCATGTTTAGGGATAATTTTTCCCCTAATACTTTATTATTTTGTAAATTTCCTTTAATGTAAATTTCCTAACGCGTCTATTATCAATGAGAGACTTGCAAAGAGAACGAGTTTTGATACAACCCTATCTTATGGTCTCCTATATGGAGGTTTTATTACCTGCATAGAAGTATATCTGATACTAGCTGCTTCAAAAATGCATGGCCTCTGTTTATGGAAGATCTTTCTCTGGAAGTTATTACAGTTTATACAAATATGTCTGTTTTGTCTGTTTTAGATTTAAAAAAGGCTTTTCAGGGAGCAGAATCTCATTATTAATCTTAATTAAATAGTATATCTTCATTTAGTTAAAGTACCTACCATGTGCCAGGCACAACCACTGTGCTAGGTGCTAGGGATACAAAAATAAATACACACTGCCCTCAAAAAGCTTACAGTTTAATGGAGAGGATAGATAAACCAACAGTCTGACAAATGCCATAGCAGAGGTGATCACAGATTGAAATCAAGTCTTGTCATATGATTGCACTGTGAATTGTGGTTAAACTAATCTTTTTTACCCGCAGAGTCTTTCTTCAGTTCGTGTGGTAGTTTACATAAACTAAGTGAAGAGCCACTGATTCCTCCTCCTCTTCCTCCTCGAAAAAAGTTTGATCATGATGCTTCAAATCCCAAGGTAGTCAACAGGACTTAGGTTTGCCTCAACTTATTCAAAGTTGTGAATCTTCAAAATAGTGCTTGTTCTTATAAAGAGTCTGTCAATTGTAATTTGGCTACCCTTTATGGTTTTAAATATTTGGGTCTTATTTAAAAAATACTTTAAACAGTTGTTTAATCCTCATAATGCTTTTTCTAAAAAAGAGCCTGGGCAGATTCACAGATGCTCAGAAAAAGTACACTTTCTTTCTGATAGATCAAAAGAACTTGAGTATTCAAAGTAGTCTTCGGATTTTCCGCTGCATCAGAATCACCTGGAAGGCTGTTAAAACCAGATTGCCAGAGTTTCTGATTCAGTAGGTCTGGGGTGGGGTCCAAGAATTTGCATTTCTAACAAGTTTCCTGCTGGTGCTGATGCTGCTGCTCCCTGGATCACACTTGGAGAAGCAGCACTCTAAGCCTCACTGGAGAAATAGAAGTGAATGTCCAGAAAGCAGAAGCTGGACGTTAAGTCCTCTTGACATCACGTCCTTTCGTGTCTACAGAGCTATGTATTCTTTCACTTACTTGCCTATTATAATTAAATGCATAAATTTATGAAATGTGTATACGAAGCAAGATAATCTGAGGCATTACGTTCTAAGATTTCAATTAAAACATCTCATATATAAAAATATTAAACTGGGCCCTGAATTAAACTGAGAGTAATTTACTCATAAATCTGACCATTAAATCAGATTAACGTATTTTGAGCCTCTGGTTTTAACTTGACACACAAGAATTTTTCAGTCTTTTAAAAACTTTTTCTTACAGATTTTTCAGGAGAACAGAGGTATAATTTAATTACTTTTTTTTTTTGAGGGAAATATGAAATCTGATGATGACCCCCCTGCTATTCCACCCAGACAACCTCCCCCTCCGAAGGTGAAACCCAGAATTCCTGCTCCTTCTGGTGCATTTGATGGGCCTCTGCAGAGTCCGCCTCCACCGCCGCCGAGAGATCCTCTTCCTGATACCCCCCCACCGGTTCCCCTTCGGCCTCCAGAACACTTCATAAACTGTCCGTTTAATCTTCAGCCGCCTCCACTGGGACATCTTCACAAAGATCCAGACTGGTTCAGAGACATTAGTACGCGTCCAGATTCGCCAAACACTCCTCCCAGCACACCCTCCCCACGGGTACCACGTCGATGCTACGTGCTCAGTTCTGGTCACAATAATCTTGCTTATCCTCAAGCTCCCCCTGTTCCACCAAGGCAGAATTCAAGCCCTCACCTACCAAAACTGCCACCAAAGACTTACAAACGGGAGCTTTCGCACCCCACATTGTATAGACTGCCTTTGTTAGAAAATGCAGAAACTCCTCAATGACCTTAGCCATATGTAGTCATTGACACTGGAATGGTATTTGTAAAGGTTTTTTTTTTAATTTATTCAAAAAAAGGCATAATATTTTAGTACTTTTTACAAATAATGCTCTTACAAAAATGCTACTGATCAAATAAGCTTGTAAAATTGGAGAAATAAAACTACAGAAGTCCTTGACCATGATCCTCAGGTGATCAGTAGCATTGCCTTGTCTGGGATCCTCAGTGCTGCCAAAAGGCCAGTATAAGGAATCTATATTTGCACTGTAGACTCTGCTAAAATATGGTGTGAAGTGACACTGATTGCACTGGAAGGGGATAGTGCATTTGTGGAATTTTTCAAATTTGAGTAATAGATGCCTTTTTAAGGCAGTGAATTTACACAAATATAGGGGGTGTATGGTGTTACTAATTTTTAAACCTCTTTGACCATCTTCTAGTTTTTACTTGTAGTTTTTATATTTAGGAGAATTGTGAATAACACCCACTGTTCTTAAACTCTTTAATGCCATGTCTTAAATGCCAGAATTTGCTGCTGAAGACAAAAATGAAAAACAGAATGAAAATAATAGAATGCACTGTAAGTGTTGATTACTTTGTCAAAATATAAACAAAGACTACCTAACAATCATAGAGGAAAAAAGGGCATGTATGTTATTCAGATGTGCCTTTTGTTTTTGCAAACTATGGTGTCTTTAGCTAATGAGTTGCATATTGTTTCGGAAAACAAAGTTAATATGCCGTGTATGTACAGTTTTGTTTATATTGTATATTTAAAGATAATGCTAATAACCTATATAAATTTAAGTGACTCGAGGCCTATAATGCAATCTGCTACTTTACTAATAAATTCAGAGGAACAGTTTCTTATGGCATAGGAACCAACTGCCTTGCCTTCAAAACCTAGTAACTTTCTTTGTAAATCTTGTGTTAACTAAAATTTAAAAAAAAATTTTTTTTTAGATTGGTAATATTTAAACCAGCAGATACTTAAAGCTTTATTAAACTTTTTAATCAGAGAAGTGAGTAAAACTTTTATTTGCCATTTGGACTCCTTCAGAGGGATGGAAAGGCATGTTTGCTGAAGTGCAGAGCAGCAGTGATGAAGGAGCCGAAAGCCACGGAGTTTCCTTAGTGCTCTGTGGCCTTTTACTGTGCTTTGTATCAGAGTGCGTAACAAGACTAATAAATCACCCCAGTCTTAATTTTTAAAAGATTTTTAAAATATGTGTTTTCATTATAAGGAATGAGGGGGGAGATTGTTGAGTTCCGTAGAAATAGGTACCCACACATTTTCAATATTTTATTCAACTTAAATTGCATAATCCCAAAGGATTTAAGTGATGTAAATTTTAGAGGAATGACTTTGTCTTCCCTCTTAAACGCAGCCACCACGCTGCCAGCAGCCATTTTTGTGCCTTCAGATGAGAAACGAGGCGCAAGCCAGGACACCTGAGCAGGTCGTGGCCATCCTGGGAGGGTCTGGACGCCGCCTGGATTTCGGGCCGGTAACCGCTGCGTCACTCAGGCTCCATCCCGGGGAAGACACGCCGCGGGCGGCTTTGTGTTTTAGAGAGCAGGTTATACTACTAGTTTTGCCGGGAGAAAGGACTGAAGGCGTCTGCTCGTGGAGCTAGACTCGCCATGTAGTTGGAAGGGGAGGCGAGTGGGTGCCCG